TGCTGGTGCATCGCGGCGCGGCAGAGCGCGCGCCGTGGTGTGAGCAGCGGCGGGCAGATGCTGCTGTGGCAGGCGCGCAGGCGACGACCGGGCTCGCCACGCCGGGCGGCCCTGGCGGGTTCACGCAGCCATCGACAAGGTGAAACTCCATCAATGCGCGGCCTCCTTCACAACTGAGGGTCCGCGAGCAACCCGCCGCCCCGTGGAGAGTTTATTTACCGCGCGCGCCTGCCAGGAGGCGGCCGTCGCCCCAAACGGGCACAGGAGGACATAAACCGCTTTTCTAGGGCGTTTCGACCTTCGAAAAGTGAGGATCGGCCGGATTGGGGCGCCGCAGCCACGCCAATGCGGGCATCCCATCTGCGCCACGCCACGCGGGAATGCTGGGCGCGCGCAGACCGGCATTGCACCGCACCAGAGCACGTTACCACGATAATTAGACCGGCTAAGGCCCGATGCGCGCTGCGCCAGGCCCCGCAGGCCCTGATCCGACGGGCGGCCGCCGGGGTCCCGCCACGCTGCATGCCGCATGCCCACGGCCCCGCCCCACCTGCCCCGTGCACCCCACCCCCACCCCTCGCGCAGCCTCCCCCCCAAGGCATGGAGGCCTACCCCGCCGGTGATTGGGCGGCGCCGCCCGCCGGCGAGGCCGGCCACGCCGCCGCGGCGCCGTCCCTCAAGGCCCAGGTGCTCACCCTGTTCAAGGACTCGACCAAGAAGGCGGCCGGCCTCATCCTCAGCGCCGGCGACAGCCCCCGCAGCGCGCACGCGGCGCACGCGCCGCCGTCGCCGGGGCTGGACTCGAGCGGCAGCGGCAGCGTGCGGCCCGCCGGCGCGGGCGCGGCCGCGGGCAGCTGCGTCAGCAGCTGCAGCGCGAGCAGCGGCAGCATCGGCCAGCCCTTCCTGGAGGGCAGCCTCGCGTCGAGCCCCGCCTCGGCCATGGCCGCCGCCGCCGCGGCAGCGGGGGCCTTTGGGCCTAACGACGACGACGCGTCCGCCGCCGCGGCCGCGCCCGCCGGCGCGTTCCACTCCCTGACGGCGGCCAAAAAGACGCTGGGGAAGCTGCTCGGCGCCGGCGCGGCGCCGTGGTCGGCCGACGGCAGCGGCGCCGCGGGGCAGGGCAGCCCCACCGCGGGCAACGGGCTGATCGCGGCGTTCCGGGCAATCATCCCAAAAACCAGCAACGGCTCGATCGGTGGGAGGGGGGGCGGCGATTGGGGCCTGGGGGCCGCCGCCCGTTTTTGGGCTCGCGTGCGCGAGCTTTTGCCTGCGCACTGCACGCGGCCTTTTGCATGCGATCTGGCACACCCCCCTGCTTGTGCACCCTGCACACCCCAAGCCCAGCCCTTCCACCACCGCTCCGCCAAAACCGCCCTAAAAACCGCCCCCAACTCCCCCACTCCCAGACTCCACCGGCGCCGACGCCCCCGAGCCCCAGCGGCAGCCCTCCTACCTGCCGCCCCCCGAGAGCCCCGGCCGCAAGTCCACGCTCCTCGCGGTGTGCCCGCACCTGCCGCCGTCGATGCAGCGGCCGGAGTGGTGCCTGGAGGATTTTGTGGTGGGGGAGAAGCTGTACAAGGGCTACGCGTCAGTGGGTGAGCGGGGGGAGGGGGGGCGTTTTTTGGGTTGGGGCCAGCGGCGGTGGGGGCTTCGCGCGCGTGGCGCGCAGCCCGCAAAACAGCTCAGAATTTGAGTGGACTGAAACCCCACCCACCCACACACCTAAAACCCTTAAACCCCCACCCCAACCCCCTAAACACCCTCCAGTGCACAAGGGCGTGTGCAAGCGCAGCCGCGAGGTGGTCGTGCTAAAATGTTACCTGCTCAGCGCGGTGTGCGAGCTCTACCAGCACCAGATATTCCGGGAGGTGCGGCTGCACGCGGGGCTGCAGCACGAAAACGTGGTCAAGCTGTACGCCGCGTTCAAGGTGGGGGGCTTGGGGGGTTTAGGGGTGTTTGGGGGAGAGTAGACAGAGGGGCGGCTGCACGCGGGGCTGCAGCACGAAAACGTGGTCAAGCTGTACGCCGCGTTCAAGGTGGGGGGGGGGGCCTTGGCTGGGGTGAGGGGGTGGCTGGGGGGAGGGGCGGTGCGGAGGGGGGGGCCAAGCAACACTGCCCCGATAGAACAGCAGGAGGAGTACGCATCCCCCTATCACTCCAACAAACCACCCTAATACAACAACAAAAAAACACTGAAAACCGCAGGAGGGGGACCGCGTGGTGATGGTGCAGGAGTATGCCGACGGCGGCGACCTCTTCAGCCAGCTGCAGAAGTTCGGGGGGCGCCTCAGCGAGCGCGCGGCGGTTCAGATGGTTCTGGATCCCTTCCTGCGCGTGCTGCACGTGGGTCCGGCCTTTTGTTTTGGGGAGGAAAAGAACCGGCCAAAACAAACCAGTTTGAAATGGGCCTCCGTTTCTGGTTTGATGCAGTTTGTGTGATGAGCTGGGGGACGCCCATCCGTCGCGCCGCGGTTCAATGCCTGCCCTGAGCATGCGCGCTGTCAAAAGATACGATGGCCACGCCCCCCTCCCCCCACCACCCTCCCACCCCCACGCCGCCCCCCAAAAGCGGCCCCCCTCAAAACAGCCCCCCCCAAAACGCCCCTCCCCCCCAACAGTACCTCCACACCCGCTCCATCGTGCACCGCGACATCAAGCCAGGTGCGCGCGCGCGCGGTTTTGCTTCCAGAATGGGCAGTCGAGAGGACACGGCGGTTGAGGGGGCCGTGGATTTGAATCCTGGTTTGCGCGCGTTCCTCCGCGCTCAAATGCCCGCTTTCTTGTTTTGCATCCCAAGGCAGCCCCAACCAAACCAAACTCGCTGCATGTTCCAGTTAAGCCCTCTGCACACCCAAACCTGCCCCTCCCCAAACGCACTCATCAAATCCCCAAAACATGCCCCTCCTCCCACCAGAGAACATCCTCTTCACCCGGGGCAGCAACTGCCTGAAGCTGGCCGACTTTGGGCTGGCCATCGACTTGAGGGAGGAGCGCGCGGTGACTCGGGCCGGCACTCTCGACTATATGGCCCCCGGTGGGGAGGGCAGTCCCGCTTTGTGGGGGGCAATGTGGTTTGTGGGGGGCAGTCCGGTTCGTGTGGGGCAGTCCGGTGCGTTTGTGGCAGTCCGGTGTGTCTGGGGCAGTCCGGTTTGGGGCGCGGGGATTGCTGCTGCGGGTGCATCTGACGAGGTCCAGCAGACCCTCTCCCCAACGCTCTCAAGCAGCCCCAAACACACGCAACCACAAACAACAACGCCCCCCCCCCAAACCAAAAAACAAAAAACCCAGAGATCCTCAAGTGCCCCTACAAGAGCAAGCCCGAGGAGAACAAGGAGAAGGAGCACCTCCACTACGGCAACACGGTGGACGCCTGGGCGGTGGGGGTGATGACCTTCGAGCTGCTCACCGGCTGCCCCCCTTTTTACGACCAGAGCCGCGCCAACACGGAGGCCCGCATCAAGGCGGGGCTGCCAAACTTCCCCTCTACCCTCAGCGAGGGGGCGCGCAGCTTCATCTGCGACGGTGGGGGGGAGGGGCGAGGGGGTGTGCACGCGCCGCTGATCGCTGCCCCAGGTTGACCGCATGCTTTGATCTGCAGCGTGATCGAGTCACAATATGCGTGTTTGCCTGCCAGCCGGCGGCGCACGCAGCGAGTGCCGCTCTTCAGACCAGGCATGCCCCCCTTACAAGCCCGCAACCCTCTCCCTACCTTCATTCCGCTCCTTCCCCAAAAAACCCAACAGCCCTGTGCGTGGACCCCGCGCGCCGCCCCAGCACGCTCGACATGCTGCACCACCCCTGGATCGAAATGCTGCGCGCGCGCCGCTCCATGCGCATACTGGCGGGCAGCCCGCTCGCCGCCGCCGCCGACGCGGCCGTGGAGGGCGCCGACGCGGCCGCCGCCGCAGCCGCCGCCGCCGCCGCCGCGGCGCCCGGCGGCGCGCAGCTGCCGGGGTCGCTGCAGCACGTGCGGCAGATGGTGGGGGACGGCGCCCTGCACTCGGCGGCGAGCTCCCCCTGCCTCGGCTCGCAGGCGGCGCTGCTGCAGCACATCGGCGGCGCGGGCGCGGCCGCGGGCGCGGCGGGGAAGCTGCCGCCCCTGTCCAGGCTGGCGCCCTCGCCAATGGAGGTGTGAGCCGGGCGGGGCGCCGGACCCGGCCCGCCGCGTCAAGCGGGTGCAAGATCCGTCCGCCTCTGGGAGAGGGGGCGCCGCGAGCGACGCGGCGCCGCGGCCGGGCGACGTCGAGGCGCGGCTGCGGCAGCTGATGAGGATGATTGAGCAGCCGCCTGCCCCGTCCGGCGGCGCTCGCCGGGGGCCCTGCCTCGCAAAATGTACAGTACAACCAACAGCCCGGTCCCTGATCCGCCGCCGTGTATCCTCATTTTTCTTTCCCCCTTTTGTGCCGCCACGCGTGCGGTTTCATTGGGTCGCGCGGGGTGGCTGCCGAGTGCGGTGGGAAGCTGCTAGCGCTGCTGCCACAGCACCACGATTCATGTGCAAGGCAAGATTGAAATCGATTGGGGACCGGCGGCCGCCGCCCAACCAAATAAAGCCTGGTTCCACTGTACAAAGCCCCTGTTCATAAGCTATTCAGTACCCACTTTATCTAATTCAACAATATGAAACGACCCTGGAAAGAGGACAGCCGACACCTTCCTGAACGATACGAATGCGCACACGTGCCCAGCCCCTCTCCCGGCCAATAAAAACGAAAGGCTTGTTGACAAAGGTTCCGGCTAAAAACCGTTGTAAGTTGACATCAGGTGCTCAACAGTGGGCTTCCGGAGGGTCATGCTGGCCACTGGAACATCGTGCGTTGACCGCCGAGACACGGCGGCAACCACACGAAACCTCCACGCAAACCAAGCCTGGCTACTTCGCAATCACAATCTGATTGTTTGATGCTTAATTGGTGACTAATTTAGGATTTGTTTTCGCGGTTGCTAAACCCTGTTGTGTTATATTATTGCAATGTGTGCCTTTGATGAGCACTCTAAGCGCGCTAGTGGTGTAGGGGTATCATATCAATTTCCCATGTTGATGACCCGGGTTCGAGTCCCGGCTAGCGCAATTTCTGCCATTGCATTTTTTCCTCCCAAGACTCACCCAAGATCGTCCCTCTGCACCCCCCGAGCCTCTTGTTCTTTGCGCTTGTGGCCAGCTGTGTTTACACGGCAATGCAAGGAGGGCAGGGCATGCACGCGCGCGCGCGCGGTGTCAACGCCTCGGGCCGAGGCGCGGCGGCGTCCGGGAGCGCGAGCGGGAGCGGGAGCGGGACCTGCGATTCGAGTTGGCAACAGGGGCATGGCGTGCGCTGTGAACAGCGCTATCAGACGCGTGCGCGCGCAGCCGCCACAACACCGCGAGCCAAGAAACGGCCGCTGCTCTGCAAGCAAGTAAGCCCCCGCCCCCAGCACAGCCGCCCCGCGCACCAGCGTTGCGGCGAGGGCGAGCGCCGCACGTGGGTGCTGCGCGCCATCTGCTCGCGCGCGGCCTTGTCTTTTTCCGCCTGCGCAGGGGAGGGCAGGGAGGGCGGCCGGGCGGGCGGGGCGCCGCAGGGACGGCAGGCCGCAGCCGGGGGCGGCGTCAGCGGCTGCGGGGGAGGGGGGGGCAGCGCGCGGCACGCAGGGCTGCGGGGGCCGCGTCGTGTTTTGCCCCCAGCCCTTCGGCGGCTGTGGCCCCTTTGAACGGGCCCCCATCGTGCCAGCCCCGTGGCAGGTGCTGAAGAGCGTAGCACCCCCTGCATGCCACAGACACAGGTGCCACCTAAACCGCACAGTCTAGCCAGCCCCTCCCCAGTCGGCGCCCAAGCCCGCCCGAGCCCGGTGCCAAACCCCTCCTGCCCCCGCCGCGTGGGGCGCCTCTTTCCCTCGCGCGCCCCCGCCGCCGGCGCCGCCCGCCGCGCCCCCGGCGCGCGGCCCTCCCACCGCACCCCGGCCCGGCACCGACCTGCAGCTTCTTCTGCGCGGCGGCCAGGGAGTCGCGCTGGAAGGCCTTGTTGATCTGGGCGGCCATTATGCGCTTCAGCCGCTCCTGGGGCGTCTCCTTGGCGGGCGCCGCGGCCGCGGCGGCGGCGGCGGCGGCGGCGGCAGCAGGCTGCTCGGGCAGGGCGCGCGGGGGGGGGGAGAGGGGTGGGCGTGGGGGGTTCGGGCTGGGGCGTTTGTGGCCATCTGCACCCAGAGGTTGTTCAAGTGACTGGAAATGGGAACGGGGGGGAAAGGAACTGGGCAAGGGGCAGGTCGGAAGCTCCAGTCCAGGCGCCTCGAGCCCAGCAAGCCTCACCTTGGCTGCCGGCGTCGACTTGGCCGCCGCGCCCCCCGCGCCGCCGCCGCCGCTGCCGCCGCCGCTCGAGCGCCGGTCGCGGTCGCGGCCGCGGCTGCTGCTGCGCCGCCGGCGGTCGCGGTCGCGGTCGCGGTCGCGGTCCCGGCCGCGGCTGCGGCTGCGGCTGCGGCTGCTGCGCCCCCGCCGCCCCCTGCTGCGGCTCCTGCTCCTGCTGCGCGAGTGCCGCCGGCGCCCCCTGCTCCTGCTTCTGCTTCTGCTGCGGCTGCGGCTGCGCCCCCACTCGGCGCTGCGGCTGCGGCTGCGGCTGCGCGCCGCCGCGCGCGCCGCGCGGCGGCGCTCCCAGTCCCGCCGCCGCGCCTCCTCTGGCCTGCGGTCGGTTTTGGCGGGGGCGGGGGGCCGCTGAGACAAACCGCCGCGCCGCGCCCGCGGGCTCGCCTCCCCCGCCGGGCTCATCTCTGCCCCTCTACAACAGCAGCCGTCCAGCTCGCCCCCGACGGCGGCGGCCCCGCAGCCCGGCACTCCCCCCCAGCACCCCCCCCCCCAGCCCGCACCCCCACCTGACACCGTGGATCTGCAGCGCCCCCGGCGCCACCGCGCGGATGCCGCCGAGCATCGCGGGGTCGGGCGCGTCGGGGAGGGCCTCGACGATGGCGCCGGGCCCCGCGGCGCCGCCGGCACCGGGCCCGCGGGGCGCGCCGGACGCGGGGGGCGCGGTGGCAAACACGGTGATGAACTCGGCGCCGGGCCTTTTTGTTAATTGTTTGTTTGATTGTTTGTTTGTTTGGGTTTGGGGGGAGGTTGGGGGCTTGTTGAGGGGTGTTTGGGGCTTGGGAGAGGGCTGCGGGCAGGCAGCGTGTCATGCGACACGCGCGCAGCCGGCCTCCAGCACCGCAGCACGAGGCATCGGCCGGCGGACCGCGCGGCCGCGCTGCGGCCGGTCGAAAACCAACGGCAGCGCCCCCCCCTCAAAAAGCAAAAATGCACCTCCGAGGCGAGCGCGAGCGCGAGCGGGAGCGCGACCGGGAGCGGCCCCTGCGGCAGGGGAAAGAGGGTCGGGGGGCCGATCAGCGCCGCGCGCGCGGAGGCGTGCTCCAAGGCAGGCATGCTCGAAGGCGGCTGCGGCGCGGCCAAGCGGGGCAAGCAGCTGCTCAGCGGTCGGTCGCCCGGCCCCCATCCCACCTCTGCCAGGGGTCGTAGCTGGGGCTGTTGCGGCGGCCGTACGGGGCGGGGAACCTGGCGGCAAGGCGGCGGCGGCGGCGGTGGGGGGGGGGGGGACAGCGCTCCTCAGTTCAGAACTGCAGACATGCCGAGGCCGCGGCGAGCAGGCGTGGGCTCGGATCGGCGGCCCTGAAAGCACGCAGCCGCCATCGCCGGCGCCGCGCGGCTCACGCCAATCAACACCATATAGCCAAGCCAAACACACCCCTCCGGCGCAGCCGCGCCGCCGCCCCAAGCCCCCGCGCCGCCGCGGGGCGCACCTGTCCGGGGACGCCGCCCGCCGCGCCGCCGCGCGCCGCGACTCGGCCGGGTCGACCCAGGGGTTTAGCAACGCCCGGCCCCCCAGGGGGTCCGGCTTGACCGCCTCCCGGCGCAGCCCGGTCGAGGGGTCCAGCCCCTGCCCGGCCATGCGCTTGGCGCGGGCGCGCGCTTTTTTGCGGCTGATGGCGCGCCTGCGGGGCGGGGGGAGGGGGCGGCGGCGGTGAGTGCCCGCAGTCGGCCAGCGGGCGGGGCTGGGAACGCGCCAGGGCAGAGGCGGCCCAAACGCGCGCTGCAAGAGGCCGGTGCCGAAACGCCTAAGGCGCGCGCGCCTGCAGGCGCGGCGGCGCGGCGCAAACAACCTGTCCGCCACCCCACCTCGACCGCGGCCGCATGCGCGCCTCGTCGTCCCCCTCCTTCTCCAGCGTCCGGTGCAGGCGGTACGAAAAATCCGCCAGGCCGTACCGCTCGGCGATGTCGTCCACCCGGTCGTCTTCCGCCTCGGCCGCCGCCTCGGCCTCGTCCTCGGGGCCGCCGCCGCCGCCGTCGCCGTCGTCGTCGCTGTCGTCGCTGTCGCTGTCGTCGCTGTCGCTCTCCGCGCCGGCGCCGGCGCCGCCGCCGGCCCCGCCGTAAGAGAACCCCACCGCACCGTACTGCCCCGTGCCCGCCGGCGCCGCCGACGGCCCCGCGGCGCCGCCGCCGCCGCCGCCGCCGCCCCCGCCGGGCTGGCGCACGTTGAAGACCACTTGCTCCACCGCGTGCAGCGCTGACTGGAGGTGCGCGCGGCGGGAAATGTGCTCGTCCTTCGCCGCGCGGATGCCCTCGCGGTCGGGCAGGCCGCGGGCGGCGTGGCGGATGGCGTCGCGGAAGGCCTCAAAGGCGAGGGCCTGGGGGGTTTGTTTTGCGCGGGGGGTGGGGTTGGGGGAGGGCGGTTGCGAGGGCCTGGGGCGCGCGAGGGTTGCGCGGGGGTGGGGGAGGGCGCACTGGCCCTTCCGTTCGCGGCCGCGCGCGGCCGCGCAAGCGTGGTTCAATAAAACCGCCCGAGCGGGCCGCCCAGCCGGCGCGCCCGCAGGCTTTGCGGCGCGGGGGCCCCACCTCCTCCAGCCGCTCCTCCTGGTGCGTCCGCTCCCGCCGCGCCTTGGACCCGGGGGGCGGCTCCCTGTAAAAGTCCAGCAGCGCGCGCCCGTCGAAGCGGTCGATCAGGTTGTCCTGCGCGGGGCGTGGTTTTGTTTGGCTTGCCGCTTTAATTTCAGCCGCGCAACAGCCCGACGGGGCCGCCCGTCGAGTGAAGGGGTTGGGGCTGGAGTGACCTGGGCGTCCGAGGCGACGCAGGGGCCGTTGTGGCATGTGCACCCAAGCCCGCGCCACCGTGGCAGCCGCGCGCCACCGTGGCAGCCGCGCGCCAGCGTTTGCCGCCAACCCGAGGGAGCCAGCGCCCTCAGCCCCGCGACACACCTGCGCGCCGTTCCATGGGATGAGCCCGTCCCCCCTCTCCAGCGCCGCGTGCTGCTCGATGCTGCGGTGCAGCTTGCAGGAGCGCCCGTCCACAACCAGCAGCTGGGTGGGGTCCTCGATCTGCGCGGGAGGGTTTGGATGGGGGGGGGGTGCGGTCGGGGGGCGCAGGGGAGCGGCGCGCCGCAAGCGTGCGTGCGTCCGCACCTAGCGTGCAGCGGGCTGCCGCGCATGCGGCATGCAGCCGCGACGCCGGCTGCTTTGACACGCACGGGCCCATGCGGACCGTGCACCGCATGCAACCGCATGCGACCGGGTCGCAACGCGCCATGCATGGGCCGCATGGCGCGCGGCGCGGGGGAAAAAGCGCGCTCACCACGCCGGCCTCCGCCTTGGCCTCCAGCCGCTTGTCCCTGCGCTTGGCGCCCTCCTCCTGCATCGCCTTGAGCTTCTTGGTGTGGGCGCGGGCCTCATGGTAGTAACTCATGGCCGCCGCCGGCGAGGGCCGGGGGCCCTAGGCTTTGGCGGGGGGGGGCCGGATGCGGCGCGCCGCGCGCAGCGTGCGGCCTTGCGCGCGCCGCAGACGCGGCTGCCGCTGCCGCGCGGGGCCCGCGCAGCGCCGGGCGCGGCCCAGCCGAGCGCTCCGCTAGCACGAGCGCGTCTGGGGCCGCGCTGGGGCTCGCGTTTCGTGGTGGGCCGCGGCCACCCTCAGCGGCCTGATCTGAAGCGGCTGCCGTAGTCGATTTGTGAGGAAGCAACGCGAAAAGGGACGCGAACCCATCGGCTGAAATTTGAGCCGGGAGGTGCGCGTTAGGAAGCAGCACAGCAGCTTGCACCTGCCCGACTTGGCCTGCCGCCTG